AAATACCATTAATTGTGATGAAAACTGAGAAAATACCATTAATGGTTATGCAAAAGAAAAAAAGACCATTAATTGTGATTAAAACTGAGAAAATACCATATACCATTAATTGTGATGAAAACAAAGAAATACCAACATATTGAAATAATCCTAATCCAAACACAAATTAAATTAAACTAGAGTAAAATATGCACAAGTGAACGATGAACACATAGACTCCTAAAAAAATACAAGGAGACCAGGTGTTGCGGAAAGGTAAGCATGTTCTGCTTCCTCGATGATCCCTGTCGTGTAAATAGTGGTCAATCCAAGTAAGGTATGTCATGCTTCCAGATGTAAACAATTGACATGCAATAATGTTTGTGTTATAATTCTACGGCGATTTGAACAAGATAATGCAATACACTGGTAGTTCCCTGATAGCCATTAGGATCTGTGACTGGGATATTACGGGTGATCATGTTCTACCTTCGTTTGTATTTTGGTTTCGGTTACTACTTCTATTTTGAACTAGAATTTGAATCTTGGTTTGATTAAGATTGATATTGCAGACACTATAAAAACGAGCTACAACAATCACAATCAGTTATTCTTCTCGCTGTCCTTGTAGTTTTTCCTAGTCCACAGTTTGTATTTGTAGTGTCAGTTCGTTGATATCATGTCATATTTTTATCGTCACATATCGATAATATGATCTTTTCTTGCATTTCAAGTATGATTTTACAACAAAAAGCAATTGTCGACACTTGGGATGGAAACGAGTCGCTTTGAACACGACGACTATCATTTAATTGCATTGCATTCATGAAAGTCTTAAATAACGGCACTGCTATAGGAATAATTGAAGCTCAGTCGTGTGAAATAGTTTTAACTGTTGCATTCAATATCAAGTGTAATTTCAAAATTGTATCTTCAGCGTATAAAGATTAGATTGCATTTGTCGTACAAAAACTACTAAAGAGAAATCTAAAGCCAACATGAGAATTGTTTCAAACTGAAAGCACATTAGTGGCTAAATTTCCGGGGAAAATGACAGAGTTATTTCCTTCTGTTTTTCCCAGTCTGGAAATTTTACCTGAAAACTGATTGGCTGCCTAAAACGCAACTCTTCAGACACCCGTCTTTTCTTTTGTCACTTCTCATTTTTTTCCTTCTATGTCCTGTAATTTTTTTTTACAATACAATAGGATATTGTATAGACGCAGACATTAAATTGCCTCTATATCCATACCATTACTGGTATACAGTATAAAATACATAGTATATTAGGTTATATCTCCGGGGACTGATTTATAACTGGCTAAGTAATTAAATTTTATTTCCCGATTTTTCCAATAATTATCTAAATTAATTTCAAATTCTACTACGATTTTGGATTTAATAACCGCCTCAGGCAGGTCATTCCAAATATCGATTATTCTAAATGTAAAGGAGCATTTTTTGAACATCCATCTTGCAACGTTGCTTTTTAATTTTTTTTTAATTGCTTCTTGTTCTGTATCTCTACTTTCTATTTATTACATTTTCTTAGTCGGTAAACAATTATTTTACCGAAAATTGCAGGAAATACAATTCTCTCCATTGAACTTAATTTGACATACGTCACGTGAGTGAAATATATTTAAAATTGCTTTGACGAAAAGATCTGTTTGCTGATATATGAAACACATTAATAATCAAGAGAACTTTTCTAACCCCTGTATGTGTGATTTTTTGTAATAGATTAAGAAATAAAGAAAAGGTAAGCGTCTATGATCATTTCACGTATTTTGTCTCACAGCTGTCGCGTTACGTTTACTAGTCGACGTGTAGACGGATGGTTATCGATTACTTGTAAATTTAACATTGTTTCTTACATTTATGTTCTTTTAAGCCTGTTCTGGAGCACTAATTACCATTGACTAAGTACTAAAGAGCGTGACTGTGCCTACAACATAGTTTAGGTCTAGCGTAAATAAAACAGTCCGAACTAATGGCGTATTCTAATTCTAACCGTGTATAATTTATAAACATCCTACGTCAATACTGCGTGTCAAACTGAAGGAATCTATAACCGGCTGATTGATTTATATTTTCACTATATTAAATATTGAATAGACGGATAAAACTGCACACTTTGTTATGTTAGCTATATAAATATATATATCAATGTTTGATATTATACACAAACCGTTTAGCACAACAGAAGGCAGTAGTGTATTTATTTTCAATTGTCAAAAAAACCATCATAAGTTCAGTGGATAACGTTTCTCGCTGTTAAGCGTCTTGAAGAAAATGATTGCTGATACACTAAAATAAGAGTAGGAACAACGTCATTTTGAATCTTTCCTCCTTCTTCCTTCATATAACATGTAACCCTTTGTGTGTAGCAAACTTTAAGATGAAGCTAATATTAGAATGTCTCCAGCATCGTGGTGACAAAACAGGAAACAGTTTTTGTGTATTTACTATGTATCTCAACTTTGCGTTCACAACGACAAGAATATTAGACGATCCGCATGTTTGATTACCATTCGATCGATAACTTGAAATTATTATTGCACTTTGTTTATCAGGAAATTTTATGGTTGTCATGACGATCTCACTGAGAAATAATCTTTGTTTTCGTTCTCCGATGGGAAGTTGACATGTCTGTCTATATACATGATGGATCCGCTGTTAACGTCGTTCTCATTTGGGAACAAGACGTTATTTAAAGGGATTTAACAAGATTTATTTGACGGGTTTCATAGATGAAGCGAAAAATGTCTTCTTAAACATCTTGTCTTATCATAGTTTTTATTCTAACTTAATGGATCTACACATAAGTGTTTCTTGTAATTGTTCACAAATGTCTTCTCGTTTAAAAATCAAACTGAAATTTTCGCTTTAATCAATACAATGTAATGATGATTACCTCGCATCCACTTCTCCCAAGTGAATCGTTAGGTATACCATATTTTAAAGAGGTACTGAAGGATCCCGCTTTCGCATTTATTTTTGAAATTTTCATCACACATTTGTATCACTTAATATTATTAAAACTTGGCTGCTCGCATTTATTTTTGAAATTTTTATCACACATTTGTATCACTTAATATTATTAAAACTTGGCTGCTCGGGAGGTGGCACCAGATCTAGGCTACATAACACCATCTGTCGTCAGTAGTTCTGGAGTCTGATGTCAATATAACATCTCTGTTGCCGTATCAAATATAAAAAAATGTCTTTGTCAAACATGCCTTTGCATCGTCATATTCGTCGTGGTTTTTCATATCTTGAATAAATTTCCTTTCCGATCCAGACTCTAATTATTTTTCTGATTGGCGTCAGCTTTTAACGTTTATTAGACAATGCGGGTACTGAACGTAGTGCTTGTGACAGGAGACACGTGACCTATTTATAAACGAGTTGGATAACAGAGAGAACTTTTATACCAATCACAAGTATAAAAATCCTGCTTGTGTACTTGATAAATATAAGATGTCACGAGAGTCTCCATTACATTATGGGATTTAAGAACAGTTTTAAAAAGTTCCATATTAGCGTGCAGCGATGAATCTAAAATTAATAAAAATAGAAGAACGTGACGATTTTCATTAATATGATCAAATGAAAATACTTAAAGAGCCATTCATATCACATGCATAATTATCAAATTATTAAAAAGTATGTAAAAATTATCACAGAGTATGTAGCATGTGTTCAGGAAATGATTACCGGGAAAAACGCCCAGCTTCATCTTATGTCCATTTCAGTATTGCTGTGGTATGCCGATAGCCTGCCGAAAGCATGCCTATTACTATACATTGTACAACAGCGTATATGTATGGACATATGTATGTATTGGTGGAGAATGCCCATTATTATAGAAGCACACTACCGACATCATTAGAATTAAACCACAACGTATGTCTACTTCGGTATGGGTGAAACATGCCCATTATTAGATATGTATGGACGATTGAAGTGACAAAGAAGCACACTACCGACATCATAAGAATTGAACCACAACGTATGTCTACTTCGGTATGGGTGAAACATGCCCATTATTATGTATATATATATGGACGATTGAAGTGACACAGAAGCACACTACCGACACCGTTAGAATGGAACCACCATTAGAATTGAACCACAACGTATGTCTACTTCGGTATGGGTGAAACATGCCCATTATTATATATGTATGGACGATTGAAGTGACACAGAAGCACACTACCGACACCGTTAGAATTGAACTAGTAAAAACGCCATTGATTTTATTTTCAAACTGTCGTGAAAAGTGAAAACTTGAGTTTAACATCTCGTAGGTACCTTACTAACTAATACACGTAAGTGTTATTCGTCATTGTTTACGATCCATGCCATTTCTTTCCGTTCTGTTTTAAAGCGTGTTTGTTTAATTGAATTGTCTTCTTTTCGAATACCGTTATCGCCTTTTTGTAACATTTGTGCATTTTTTATGTTCTTGTGCTATTATTCCATCTTGTACGTATGTGTACTTTTCGTCAAAGGAAAAGGCATGCTACATACCAGTTTTAATATTTATGAAGTTTTGCTTGAGAATCTAATTCTTGCTGTTTTTATCCTTATGTAATTGCTCTTCCATGTATCGATTGGAGAACACAGGTAATAATGATTAAACAAAGCGATAAACTGTATTATGTTTCTAAAATAGCATTAAATAGCATGTAAGTATATAGACTTAAGGTGATCTTTTTTCGTGTATAAAACGAAAATGTAAATATGAAGTTGTATATTGGTGTGTAGTTAGATTCACTATAAAGGCTGTGCAAGTAATTTATGTCACTTAGAGATCGTGTCTATCCATTAATGATACATTGTGCCGTTAACTCGAGTCTTGTATTATCTGACAAATATAGCATGTTCGAGTAGTCTTAACTCAGTGACACATGAATATAACTCTCATCATATCATGAAAGATTTAGAAATAATAATTACTGACACTGAAACTTCAGAAAATATTTTACATATTTTCCATCGTGCTTGTTTTCCAGCCAAATCCCGCGGTTCTAAAAAGTCTTCTAATCGCGCAGCCCACAAGCGCTCCATGTTTCCACCAATCACAGAGAAGGTTGCGGAGGAGGAAGCGGAAGCAGAGGAGACAAAACGCTCTCCGGAGTCCCCTCTCACGCACTTGTACTACGGACTAACATGGAAAAATCGCGAATGGCCAGAGTTTCTGGGGAGCTGGGCGTTCGTAAATGGCATGAACTCAAAAGGTATGTCATGTTCTCTTACAAATTAAACATTACAAGTAGAAGTTGCATGTTAGGTTTCGAAGTTACAGAAGTATTCAGATAATTTAACTGCATTCAACTGTTCGACAACTTTAGACATCATAGGTATTTTAGAATCATTTTGCTAAGAAATATTAGTATAATAGTGTATAACATAGTATAATCGTTCTCGATTCTCCATTGTTTACAATCACTTTCGTTCTCTGCACCCCTGTGATGGCAAAATTGAAGGCACGCGTTCAGTAATTTCATTGATTTCAGGAGGGGAAAAACCTGACCAAACACAGGCTGATACGCTCCTTTTGAAGATTTCAAAGGAGCGACAGCCAACTTCAAAGCCATTAGAATTTACCTTTTTGCGATTCGTTTGATGTAAATCACATGATCAAACTAATCTCCTGGTCCCTTCCAAAAGATGTCGTACATGGGATCTTCAATTTTGTAATGACATGTTCTAGAGGTACAGAGAGTGAAAGTGATTGTAACGCTTTTAGTATCGAGGATGAGCCAAAGTCAGTAATATTGTATATGAAATGAAGAAATAATTTCAAATCACAGTTAAATTGTGTTAGATAGTAATACACAGTGTCGCCAACCACTGTCTAATATCTGGTCACAGCCCTTCAGAATCAAGGGCAACAGGATCCTTCAAAGTGTCATCAAGGACAAAAAAATATAATCTTGTATAGATAATGCTATATTTGAATGTTATTTAGATAATATTAGATCCAAAGACCAAATTGGATTTATTTATTTATTCATTAAACATATCACGTGATTCAAGGAATTTTCGTACATTTGACATGTCATTATATTGTCAATCAGTGAGTTGGCGACACCAACTACAACATCCGGAGATAAGACAATATGATTATGTTTGCAAATACAATTCCACTAACGACGTAAATATGAACTAATGAATTAATTTATTTGGTTTTTCTTTTTCCTTCTAGACAGTGATCTTGGTATGAAGAAATAGCGTGTAGTTTGTAGGTAGCTTTGTTAACATACAGTTATAATAATCGGGATGTTTGCATTGTTCTGTTAATGCGAGCTTCGACTGACCACCATCATATCATTATATTTGTGACGTCATACATGTACTCGCAACAATGTTGCAGCTGCGACTGTCATTTGTCGAAATGTACACAAATGTCGCGCTTTGCCATTTTCGACAATATTGCTTTCGCAATAGATGTTTCGACACAATATCCAAGGTATACTTGCTCGGCTGACGATGATGTTAATATCTTTAACACTTGTCTGCTTCTTAAAGATTATTCCGAACGTCCATGTTTTGACAATCGTATCTTTAACAGAAGTCAACGTAACCATCAAGTTACAGGTACATATTTTCGGAATATCTATTGCAACTGGTTGTTGAAAAAAAGACAAAAATGCATTGTTTTCTCTCCATCAATGCTTTTTTCACGAGGGCTAGTGAATTAGTTGAAGGGGAATAACTCCTTTCTTATTCAGATTCCGTGCTTTGCTCTATTCTAACGGTAGATGATATTTCTAAATCTACATTACTGTATAAAGCCGCATGTGGTTGTCACATTTAACTGCTATTTATTCATACGTAACTAATGTTCTGCTGAATAAATATTTCTGAAACGAAATGTTTATTTATTCTTCCGTTTGTTATAATGCTGTGCACGCCGTTTGTTACGTTTTATACTTATAATTAAAAGTTATACTTACATTGTATACTGTTAACGTAAACTTCGAGGGGTCCCTGCAGTTATAAGTATAACATGTGCATGTTTCCGGTATGTGGTTTTATTTATCAAAACACACAATCGCTGTAAACTTATTCAATAAATCTTGTTGGTTAAAGTATCTGAATGTGACAAGAGCATTTACTTCTTCTAGAGTCGAAGAACACATTTTTTCATAATTGATAAAATTTCTTTTTCTTTTGCCAGCAATCCCTCGTTTTAATGACAAATATGCTCCTTTAATTTATCTTTTAAATAAATATTGCCATGAGTCTTGTTTATACAGATCTAAAGTCTTCCTTTTGACTACATCACCAAGTGTAAGGAGGCAATCTGGCTTCTGTTACTAAAAAGGAATTTATCGTTGATATTTTGTTTTTTTTAGATTTCGACGGGATAAGTGATAGTTTCGATGATTGTACAGATGAAGATGACGTGTTCCTTTCTGATGATTCCTTGAATGATGCGGATATCGATTTCGATACTGAAACGGATAGTACATCCCAACCTGAGAGTGATGGTTACTATGGAAATGACCTCCGTTACAATAATGACCTCCCCGAAAGTTTAAATGGGGGAATCACAATACCTAATCTGGTGTTTGAAAATAAAAATCTTGTTCGAAGTAAGGGACATGCTGATCTGTCATGCTTTACTTCAACGCGGCCTTTAACGTTTACCAAGGATGAAAATGCTAACAAGAAAATACTTTCGAAGGACGATACTCATGTGTGTAATAATATATCTGCATCATCGCCTCCAGAATCTACCAATACATCAAAATCCGAACCGGAAACAAATTCTTCAAAGGGAGGTGACTCTTGTGATAGAACGCCAGAAACTGAAATTACATCCAATGCTTTAGGAATAGACTGGTCAGAAATGTGTTTGTTGTTTTCAGGTTCTGCGTCAGTAGCTTTGTTTATGGACGTTGCTCCACATCTTTATGTTTTCTCTATAATTATTGGCCAGCTATTTTACATATTCATACGATTTTTGTTAAAAATGGAATGATTATCTTCTTCGGAATTGTATAAACGAACTCTGCTAAATAGACATCAATTTTGGTATACTATGCAATACAGTGAGATACAATGTAGATGACTTGTAGTAAAGTTCGAAATCACACTAAACAAATCAAACATGTTTACATTACTCTATTAACTGTTTTACACCCTTTAACAAAACACATACCATAGTTTCATTCATTGTAAAATTGGATATATATGTAGTTTAAAGGTGTAAGTAAGTTTGAGAAAATCGCCTGTTTTCTGCCTGGTGTCATACGTAGACAGTAGGAAATTGATATTTCGTCGGTTTTGTTAAACAAATGGATGCTTAAGGACCAAGTTGAACTCCTTCGTTGCGAAATATAATTTCCAAACATTGATAATTTGTGCATATGTACCTACAGCAGAATGCCGTATATCCGAACTGCCTAGGGAACACATATTGTTTCAATGGTCCAATGGATATATCATTGCTTCAGTAGCGCAGTATGAAAACTTATAAAGTTATGGCGAGTCGGTATGGTGCCCGAAACTATCACGATTTATATTTGTGTGAGAATAATAAAATAGATAATGATAATTAAAATCATAGAACATGTTAAACTTGATCTAGTCGAAGCACTTTGAATATTCACATGTTAAGCCGGCGCTTCTGATCAGCCAATTTGATTTAGGACGGTGTTTCATGTATTCAAACTGTCGCCTATTATTAGTTTTTATGCTCCTTTCGTGCGAATCTGGGCGAAGTGACTGGTACAGCGTTCAACCCTACTTCGTTGTGTTCAAATATGGCGGTTTCAGTTCATACAAAATTATAAGAATGATTATTTTATAGAGCTTTTTCAAAGTTCTGAATATTTTTATTGTGCTTTATGAAGAGGAAAGGGACACAACTGTTATAGTCATGATAATTACTATAACTACCAGCAAGATGAAAAGAAATTGAAAGTTCGGATATGTGGCATTGGGATATGTGGCATTTGGATATGTGGCATTCCGATATGTGGTATTCCGATATGTGGCATTCGGATATGTTCCAATATGAGAATTTAAAAAAAAAACGGTTCGATTTCCTGTTGAAATCCCAATGGAAAAGACTTGATACTGCAAGAGTTACAATCAATTTCGCTCTCTCGCTCTCTGCACCATTGGAACATGTCATAGCAAAATTAAAGGTACAATCGAAATATTTCATGCGTTCCAGGAGAGGAAAACTTAACAATCACAGGCTGATACGCTGATTTTGAGGATTACAAAGGTGCGACACCCAACTCCAAAGCCATCACAATAAACAGTTATACGACTTAGAGATTCGTTTGGAGTATCGGGGATGACTGACATTCGCATTCAATATCGTTAAAAGAAATTGAATGACAAATTGATTTAAGCGCATATTATGAACAGTATCGTAATCCTGTAGAACCAGGAGCGATGTTTTCCTCATTAATCACACTATCAAAACTGGAATTAAGGCAAGATGCGTCAGACCTTTGCCGTTCTTATTGTTTTTGAAAGGCATGAGGGAAGTTCGAACTTTGCAACGCATTGGCATAAATGCATTAGTTATAAGTGTGGAGGGTAGTCGTAATGATATCTTTTAATTATGTAAGTACTAAACAATAACACTATGTACACTGAATAAGACAGGGATAGAGGGCTGATATATTGCATTGATAAGCGACCTGTTCTCTTATGCAATGGCAGATACAAGTATTACGAGTATCTGCAGCATTTTAATAACAGTATTAACATAATTTTACAAAGATTTTGACCTGTCGCAGTATGTTGTCTTTTCAGGGTGCTTAAATTCTTGAATCATGAATTATAAAATGTTTTGTTTTCGTTAGATTCTTTTATATGGAATTAATGCTATTCTCTTTAACTGACTAAGTTATATCTAAATATTAAAGGAATAATGCACGTGTAAAACATATCCAATTATGATCACGACACCAATTTATATTTTCTACAGAAACATACAAAAATCAAAAATCATATTAAAGAAATGATCAATTCCATTTTTTGTGTTAAAGACTAAAGAATGGTATGCCTATTGCTTCTGCTAGGATTATAGCGAACAATTCTGTGTGTTTCGTCATATATGTCTAAACGTTGAACAATCAATAAAAAAAAGTGTCGTTAATTTACATATGACATTTTTCTGTAGAAATGTTTGATGGAGATGTGAAGCCTTATCTGTTGAACTGATTTTTTGTTTCTACTTGATAACAATGACATGCCGTTTGATTCAAATTTCATCCATTTTGTTCTAACCGATAACACGAAAAATTATCATGAATTCAGTCACGTGACAGTACGTGAACCGAGGTTATTAAATTATTTTTTTCAAGTCTTGAAACATTCGATAAGGATGTCAGACAAAAGAGCTAGAAAAAGAAATAATCCAAAGTATGTCTCATTCTATGATATATTTATAGGTAGATATTTATTATAAAACTTGTATATACGTAAATGTATATTGATAGAGGATTTGTTTTGTATATATTAGTAATAGTTACTGTAATATATAATCTATTTATGAAGTATTGGTAAAAACAACAGAAAGTTAAAGTGTGAAAAGCAATAAGAAAAAACTCAGGTATAAGTGTTGATGGTTGATAATTGGTAGTGATGAATTAAATCGCAATGAAAACACAATTTGTTTGTTATTTGTTTAATTATCGTGTATTCAATATAAAAGTACATCCATACATCACATCGTCCAATTCATTTATAGATAAATCAAAACGTTAACAAGCTAGAGGAGTATAATAGCATTATCTTTCGCACAGTGCTTTTAAATCACAGGATACGCAAAAGTCTTAACAAGCAAAAGTAATTTTATAGCTGTATCATCTACAACTATGTCTAATTTTATAGTGTCAACAAACAAGAATAAATAATACATAGTTAGGTTCTCACCTTATAACGGCTAACCTAACTGTTTATATCATGACTTGAACAAACCAATGTAGATTTATATTCTCATTACATAACCTCACAGTTTATATTCCAGTATGAATAAACTAGAGAAGATTTATATTCTTAACACCTAACGACTAACCTCATAATTTATATCACAGTATGAACAAACCAGAGTAGATTTACATCAACATCCTGACTACGTAAGACAGCTAAAATTCGCAACAATAACAAAAAGAAATGGTGTATACAATATACCACAAGTTATACAAAGATATAATACATCTAGAAAACATCTAGAAAACATCTAAAGCCCTTTGATATTTTTTGTATTACTGGACGACCAAATTTAGATTTAATATTTTTACTTGAAACTTCATGCAGTGATGACCATCACCAGTATCGATTATGCGTGTCGAGGCCGCTTAGTCAAAGAAAATTACTAAAGAAATATGTTCAAAGAAATCACACTGATAGTTTCAGCTGTAAAGCACATTATTTCGCCTTTAACGTGAATAGCCATTTCTATTTGTAAAATCATTTTATCTTTAACCCAATGATGGTGATCGAATTCGCTTTTCGAAAAAGCTAATTGCTATGCAGGTCAGGCGAACGCATGGCTAAGTTTATGTAAATTCAGTATTCAGATTTGTTTAATAACATTAAAGAATAAAACAAGTATTGTTCTTTTCTTGTACAATCTTAATATTGACAGGAATTGATAAGACAACGATATGAGTTCTTCTTTTTAATATAAATTTGCCAGAAATAGTGAACTAGTCATTCATGTCAACAAAAGCAGTAATTCAGGTAATAAATGGATAAATGTATACGTTATTAACAGAAACAGTAGGAATAACCCGAAATATACGTACAGTTTCTTGAAAAATAAACTAGTGTAAGTAACCATTTATATCTGTGCCAACATATAACACTTTTCATTAGTGTTTATTCCCATGTCCATACCAGCAAGCACTCGCACAATTTCAAACTGTCAGTAATTTTTACAACATACGGTTCGTCATTAGTATTGTCAGAATAATGCATTGAACAAAACATTGTTAATAAATTAGTGTATCAAAGTCAAACCCAAAAATACGGATCACGAGTTCCAGAAATTTCCACTCTTTGGCATTAATTTAAAAATTTAGGCATCATCTATGTTGTACTTTCACACCTTGAGGAGTTGGCCATGATCTACTGAGAAGAAACGAACACAACCATTCCGGGGCTGTCCATAGAAATCGGTAGAGTGTGTTGGCATCCCATCCTACCACGTAACGGGCCTTAGGGAAGCGAGCAGTCAGCGCATGCGTATAAGCTTCAATCACCTCGTTCAGATTTGAAGACATATTGCCATCGAAATCCAGACTCGTCGTTACTAAGAAAAGCAAACAGAATATTGAATGTCACAGCATTTGAATTCAGTTTCCTTGCTATTATTGTATTGATCTCTAAATTCATATTTCAAATCTTTGAGCAGAAAACTCAACCCCTAGCAGCTACTCCTTCACCCAATGCCAAGACTTATTTCTAGATTCTGACATCAATGGATGTTCTTAGTAGCCTCCTAGATTTCAAAAATAGGTCATTAGTATCACTGAGTCCTAGAAGAAAAAAACAGCTGTATGATAGTTTTTTATTCTAAATTATGTAAAAACTTTTCATTTGTATATCTTTTGTACAATCTTTGCGACCAGGGATGCTAGATGAACGAATTCAAACCACTTTTTTTATTTAGCCGATCCAGAAGTTTCATTTTCTCTCTAAACAGTTTTTTATGGTTCTACAATCGTCAACACAACATTGTTCAATTAAAATTGTATTGAACAAGAATCAGTCATATGAACCAGTTAGTTGCATATGAAAATGTATAAGCATGTACTATATTTTGTAAACACGAATTTTGTTTGATAATGTGTCAGTATATTAACATTGATACTCCTATGACTTAGAAAAGGAAGTATTGATAATTGCATCACTTCAAAAGTTAAGTTCAAATTTTGGGAATATTTTGATATACAAGTCCTCATTTTTGTCTCTATTTAGATCTACACCCGTCAGTTGATACAGTAATGATACTCACATCTTCGAACAAATTCTTCTCCGTAATATGCCATTCTCTCCGGATCAAGTGCCCGATAACATTTCCATATGTTTTCTATAATACCCTCTCCGGAACAGAAATTAGTTTTGTAACCACTTGGTTCAATTATATGGACGGAGACACCCGATTTCCAAAGTTCTGTCCTGAACGTATTATTACGAGTTAGAAAGAGCCATTTCAAGGCAAAACGTTCAAAAAAACAACATCAAATTCAAATAAAATAAAACTTGAAACAAATTGGTAATTTATAAAGTACGATAGAATTCAACCAAAGTAATTTTCGTAGTGAGCTATTTTACCTCAAAGTATCAGCAAAACCCTCCGCGGCGTATTTAGAACAAACATACGGTGCACCGCCTATAGCCACTCTACCCGACACGCTTGTTGTGTTGACAATTCGACCTTTCTCCTTCCTGATCAAATTCAGGAATATCCTCGTCACTTCGACGGTTCCGTATAAGTTGACAGCCATCACAGATTTATATTCTTCGATGTTTAACCAATCGGCGGCAACGTAACAACTCTGCCCGAATACACCAGCATTGTTAACAAGGCCCCATAGACCTGTAACAATCACGTGTAAAATAAGCGAGAGTTTATGTATGTAATTGCTTAAACATTTCTATTTACATTTACAAAACACATCAGGGTTGTAAGAATGACAGTGTTTTTTCGCTATTAATACAGTATGCTTCATGTTTCAGGATTAAGTGTTTGACAAAATATAAGACCATGTACAACAATGACAGAAACAATGGTATACTCAATACACTAATTTCAAATTTTTGAATTAATTGAATTGCTCTAGCAAAAATAAATACTGGAATAAAACAGTTTTAAGCTGGCATATTCAGGAGTATTCTCCCTTACCTTTAACAATTCCACAACATCAACTCATTATGTCTGTCTTATGATTTCTTATTTCTTTGCGGTACATTACAATCTCTCATCAATATTGTTAAGTTTCAGAAACGTCAGCAGGCACGTCCAAAATTAAATTAACATATTTTCTACATTTTTTTTCTTCATTGGCATCTAAATACTCATATGTCCTTAATAGAGTTAATTTGGTGGTCAAAAGTTATCACTGTCAATTGTTTGTTTTCAGATTGCTTGAAGCGCTGTAATTGAAATTTACCACTATTACCTGAGTTCGATTCCTCTATGGGACTTAAAAGGAGACAGCTGTATTGAAAAACCCTGTATCCAACCTGGGTTTTATATTTTCTTATATTTGGAAATGTAATTGATTTTTGGGAGTTCTATTAACCATAGGTAAAACGCAGAACCGTCGACTACCATCAAATTAAGCAAGTTAATCTTACCTTTGTGTCGGGGAAGTCTGTTCTTCACCTCCTCGTAAGCCTTAGTGATACTTTCGTTATTGGTAACATCGAGGTCGATGGTGACAACTCTGTTAGATGTTGCTTTTCTCAGATCCTCGCTTCCCTTTTTTGTAAGACAGCCGGCAAATACGTTCATACCGAGGTTGTCTAGTTTTTTTGCTAGTAGGTTACCGAAGCCAGAGTCACACCCTGTTATCATGATATAAAGATCATCTTTCTTCGCGATTTTAAATCGGCGAAATTGCCTTTTAACGAGCGCATAGCACGTCATAAAGAGAAGAGAATAGCTGAAGAGTGTGAGAGCCTCCATTTTAATCCTGTAATAAAACCAATAAAATCTTTTCAATACAAATGTGCAATTTAATCAAATTAGGACAAAGAAAAACGATTTACCCTGCAACAGAAATACAATGCCAGTAAGATCATGCGCTATGTAAGGTGTTCCACTGATATGATGGTATTTTCTTGGTTCTTTTATTTCATTCTCCAATGATAGATTAAAAATGAAACTCCCAAATGCGTTTGTTTTGTATTAAGATTATTATCATATTTAGTTCAGAGAGATTTTTACACTAACGATATTGATTTTTTACAATGACAGAAATTTTGAATGGTGTAATTCAAAAGTACAAGTATAGAAATCCACTGTCTAATGCATATTTTAAAATACCGTAAGGCGACCAACAATTCGATTTTCTTTCACCTGTCATTTATTTTTATAAAATTGCAACAATGGCGGTTTTTCGTGAGTTTGTTATACACAAATAGACCAAAAGATGACGTCAATGCTTTTGGAGAGCCGCATAGTCGACGACCGCGGGTATTTGATAGTTTAAAGTCTGTATGCTAATTTTCTGAGTACTGAGACGTTTATCAGTTTATTGTGATAATGATATTATGTTGTACACATTTTAAGTTTTTCTTATTGAAAATGTATACACTGAACATACACCTAGTTCACTATTTCATTGTAATCTTCAGTATTTTTATTGTCCAAACATTTATTGAATTGAATCTGGATATTCAACAATTTTCCCAATGAAAACAATCATTTCACTTAAAGAAAATGTTGCAAACTAAAATAGTAAACAAAATATCCAAGAGATTCTTTTTACATGTCAAAGAATAATCAACATGTCCCTTGCACAAGCTTATAAGGAAACTACAGTCGATATACAATAGATGTACAATTTATAAAGGGGCCAAAGAAATATCAAAATTCTCTGTCAGGGACAGAATAATAAGCAACTGCGTTTCAGTAATAAAAAGAATCGAATTTCTAGCACAGAACGCAGACAAAAAATTGTGCCGTCGCCATTGGTAACACCATTGCCACCATTGGAAGACAGAACATGTTTCTCTATGGCGAGCCTCATTTGAGGAAATATATTATCGGATTATTATAGTGCAATGTATTTAAGATAACATTGTTCAAGACGACAAGGGCAACGATTTAGATTTTTTTAATCAACGGCTACAACTATATTCGTCCTTTAACTAATATAAACAGGTAACAGCACTTACCTGTATCTCTAGATGTAGCAGACGCACATTTGTAAATAACTCCCTAAAAAATCTGGAAATCCTGCATGAGAGGGTGAAAACCAGGACGGGTACAACAAGGGTAAATACTTTGCACTGATTATTATTCAATAAACTCCCCCTCCATGTTTTTATCATACAAAAAGCACAGATGTTATTTATGTCAATTTTCATAGCAAGCAAACTTGTTTGCAGTTTTTATTACGTGGTGTTTGATTTTTTTCTTATTGTCCTAATTGCGCCTCTGTTTCATTTTGACCTTTACACTCTCTGTTATCAGATCGTCTCTCCTATCAACAATCTGATTTATCGACGCTTTCAAATAAAAGGGAGATAACAAAGGTAGTATTACATTCTCATATGGCAATAAATGACTCGCCACATCATCGGTATTTGTTGTTTGCTTTATCATTTATTCATTTTCAATTTTTTGTTTGTTTGAGAAATTTGATGATTATTAAGCTAATTAAGTATCTGTTTATTTTCAGTTTTTTGAAAATGACATATGATAAAAATTAGCTGACCTTTTCATCCCATTACTTTGATATTTTAAATTACGTTTGGTAAACATCAACTGCAACGTGGTTTGATAGTATTAAAACATAATACGGGAAAATGGAATATCTGTCTTCCTGTTTACCATTTCTGTACCTCCGACGCAATTTACTTTCACTTCCATACTCTCATTGTTGTATTCCTGGTATTGTCTCTTGTTTTGGCTTTTATATTTTCATGTATTAAGAAATTGTGAGTGATCCGACCACAGTCCATATCCATGAGGAGGTGGGTATTTTCCCTTGGACAACAGATTGCTATTTTTATTTTTTGATGATTTTTAATGTCATATACCATCAGTAATGATATTTTAGGGGCAATATCATGTGACCACTTCCTTCTAAAATTCGATTTTTCAACTGATGCATTAATTAAGTCATTGGTTATCATGCATCACATCACAGAAGTCTTAGTACAGTCAAATATAAGATAAGCAATATCTACAAGCAAGGGACAATGGTTGCAACCAACAGTGGGATTAAATATCATAGAAACCGTCAATCTATACCGAATCTTAAAAAATACGCTTCCTTTCTTTTACCACGACCCCCTTCTGATGTTGATTTTCAATGTTAGATTTTTGTGCTTCCAAGTTTAAACATTTATACACTGTATGTGCCTGATATCCTCTCCTATCAACTAGTCTTCCAAATAGTCTTTTTCTTCCATTGTTCATTTCATCATTTGTTAAGATTTTTTTTCGATTTGTTCGTTACTGCTACATATTTTAAGTTCCATTTCCAATTTTATACCACGATCTGAATTTGGAACTGTATCGCCTAAATTCAATGACTTCCAGTATTGGGAATACTGCCAATCAAGGTATGTTACTGATGTGGGTAAAAGAAGTTATTTGAAGCAAATATCAAGGAGTCATGCTTTATGTAAAGAATTGTTGTAGAATCATATATTTTTTGTGGGTTTCCAAAGATTACACATTTTCCTTGGCACTGAATTTCGTTTTAAATCTTGTCTAAAAAATCTGCCAGTATATATAAAACGTTTAAATGTTTGTTTACTCGTTGAAATAAAAACTGAATACCAATACCAAGAAATTAAACAAAACTCAATTATTATAAGATATGCGGACATTTCGAAACCTGCTGATCTAATTATATCTTATATCTCAGAGCATTAGACTAAATCAATACATTTTAATATTCAATTATTTGTTGCACGAAGGAAAGGAACTTGCTTTTTTAGTACATCACAGTGGTATCTGTTTGCTTAAAGCTTTCACACTTTGGGGGAAAGACACGTATACGATGTAGTGATACGATTATCGCATGTCTTCTTAACGAAAAGTTTCTGTTATCTATTAGCTTTTCAAATTATGAAATGCGATACCATGTGTTTATATTTGTATTTGATAAGCGTCCTTGAGGTAAATCCGTACAAATGTTGTATCAAAAATTATCTTATCGGATCATGTACTTAGTGTTCTGCCGCGTAAAGATATCATAGGTACATGAAGCTCCGATAACAGTATGATAATATGTGTACCCATTTTGTGTCGTTTAAACTCTGCGAATTTTTATTTCACACTTAAGACGTGTTCATGTTGGATGGTCTGATTTACGGACGAAATATTTGCTGTTAAATGTACTATGCCTGTAAAGGCCGCCATTTCGTTTAAAATGCTGCAACATGCACTAGGTAATATGCGCGTGTGAAAAAGTCAGTATATGCAAAGCTCACTAAAGTTCGGAAGTTATTCCATAAATTCATCGACTACTTTTTCCTTAAGTAGCAAGCTATTGTCGGAACTATCTATATGTAAATTTCTTATGTACTGAGGAGCAAACATTCGATAATTTATGGTACAGCATAGTTTTAAACAAGGACTCGGTTACGTCTGTGGGCTCATCTATGGCACTTTTTATCGACCCTTTGGCTATTATTAGGATACTTATAAAAATACAATTTTTAAGACAAATCTGTATTTTGAATAAACTAATATGTAAATATTTCTTAACGGTTAGCTTGTAATACTGTTACTTATAATAATAGTTATAGAAATAGATGAAATAACAGAAATGATACAACCTATGAAGGAATACATTAAAACGAAGAAATAGTAATCCATTTCCGTTTATTACACTGTACAATTATGTTTTCAGATAGGCAGAAAACAACATTATCAATGATAACAATTTGTATTCAAATGTTGAATACTGCCATTGCTATTGGCAGAGGTTTTGCAATCATCCGAGGTTAATAATGTCAGGAGATTGTACAAATCCGTGTATTTCCGAATTTAAGGGTTTCCTGCAATTACAAAACAAAATTTACAATGCTCATTCATACCGATTTTTCATTCACTTGTGATAATCTATTAAAACATTCACGACAAAAATATTAGTTAGCCGTTAAGCAATTATATAGTTAACGTTTAAATTCATTATGAACTGCTCGGTTGTCATCCAATTACAGAGAAAAGGAAATTGCATTTCACTCTAAAAATAACCATTGTCTGTGTAATTGAACACTTTATATTGTACAACAAGAAAACAGTTTTTTTTTCAAATATTCTAAGATCTCAAACGATGTGATCAACAGATGTTTTATTCGAATATTAGTGTGAGACTCATTACGAAGATTCCTATTATGCACTCCTAAAAATCGCTAGAACAAAACAGAAATATAGTGCTAGTTTCATAAATACGAAAATACGTTTGCAATTTATGAAAATAGTCTGAGATATTCTGAACTTACTGAGCTGTTAGAGAGGTGAAATAAAAACCTCGTGACTAGAATGCTTTCGTCCATTCGTCATATTCCTTTAACATATGCTTAATCGTTGATGACGTCACAGCGCAAATCACGTCACCAACGATTAAAACATCAAGGCAATCACAGCGCCACTAGGTATCTTTGCACTTTATTACACAATAAAATGTAAAACAGATCACCTGGTAGTTAATGCACTACACTATACTATATTACACTATATTGATGGTAATGAATTCGAAATATCCTTATTCGATTTTTTTTGCCAGTAACAGAAACGTAGTTTAAAACAAACAATATTATTCCAAACACATTATGATTTATAAGCTTCCAGCAATCGACCCTTACGTAAGGCTTTAGGTAGCGGCCAATTGAGAGTTCCCAACACCTTCGCGGCGAACCATTCGGGGGCGAAATGCAGAAGTCTTATGAACGTGTTACTGTCTTTGCCCACAATATATCGAGCCTCTGGATACTTGGATGTCAGAGCATGTTCATATGCGTCGACGACTTGGTACAGACGGTTAGAAAGCCATCTGTTGGATAGCATGTCCTTTGTTACTGAAAGATATCATAATAAGTAATTAGACATGTTATTGCTATCTGACTAAATGATACCAATTGTTATTAATTTTGAGGTACCAAATGTTTTTACAAACTGTTTTAAATTTGAGTTTATTTCCGATCTTCTTACTACAAAGAGAATATGTACTTTTCTGATCCAATAATTTTTTCTATTAATTTGATGTTATTTTCATTTCTGGCGTATTTCCTGAGATAGGCATATTCATGTAATTTCACGTAATATCGTATGTTTTATTATGGTTACTAATGTAAAAATTATCAACTGAAAAACAGTCCTAAAGAGCATTTATCACGAGCCTGGATTTGACTGTAATTACTTAATCTAAACTAAAAACGGGGAATTTTAAAGGTTCATATCTACTTCCCTACTGGCTCCAACCTCTCCCCCCCCCCCCCCCCCCCCCCCCCCCCAGTGGATCAGCTAATCATTTATACAAAGTCTCTTTCCAAAAATGATTAAGACCAAATACGGACAGTCTTGTCATTTTTACACAGGAAAGATTTTAAAGATTTCGCTCTATTTCCCATACTTGTCGTTACCCATCCAATCCCAATGACAGAGACACATTTTGCACAAAATTGATTCCTTTTCATCTAAGGATGATTTAGACCTAATTTGTACATAATATTTATATTCCTAAAGAATGAAACAGCAAGACATAATCCTGCCATTCCTGAAGAAGAAGAAGAAGTGTTCTAATCTCCCTATCTGGATATCTTGCATCGTAACAACACTCTAATCAAAATAATAATAATTCTCTGCATTTAATATGTAACAATTCAAAATCCTTTTTTAGCCCGAAAAACTATAATAACTTATCAATCTTTATATATACTTACAAAGATCTGGGTAATCCTTCCCGTAATACTCCTGAACATCCTCGTCTTGACGTTTAAAATAATCACGTAACTTTTCCTTCAGTTTTTCATTGTCAAAGATGCTGGTTTGATATCCACTAGGTTCAATAATACTCACGTTGATACCGGCTGAATAATATTCCTGTCTGCAAAAGATAAGATATTAATATATTAAAACTGTTGTAATGATATCTAATATATATTAACACACAGTTTCACGAAAACCAAAATCAACACACACCTTTAACAAGTATGCGTATAAAATTTATACTATATCATTCAAATTGATCCCTAATTATAAAATGTAATAACATGTATATTTTGAATACCAAGTTGCACATGATGTAATATGATTGACGATATCTAAAATTGTCTGGTATATGAATATTATAATTTTTATTTAGTCCTGGGGCTGCTGCATCTCCCAGCCTAGATATAAAATTTTCTTTCGATCATTTTTTATTTTCGCCAGTCGCCTCTTAGGCTTCACACTTGAGGCTTTTAGCATCACCGACGAGTTCTAGAGGGACGAAACAGCTGTAAGATGCAGTTTTATCTATTGTTTGGTTCAACAGTATCTAACACATAATTATCAAGTAGCGTCATTAATTTTTATATATTTTATCCCAAAGCCTTAATAATCAATGATTCATTAATGTTACCTTCTACATATTAGATTAAAAATAAAACAACTCAGATCATATCATATTTGCATTCACTTTTTCAATGGGTCCTTAAAGACATAATAGTGATCACAAAAACAACAAGACAACATCGACAAAATCTTTTCATAAAAAAGTCAGGAGCGATAAAATGACAAAAAATTAAAAGCGATAGAAATACATTTATATACATTGGGACACCTCAAAAAAGTACAAGGATAATAAGCGTTCGATTGAATTTACTCGCCATGTCAATTCCTAAAAATATTATCTTGTTATAAATCTGAAATTTTATTTTACAAATTGGCAAGATTTTACTTTGTCAAACTATAACCTGAGAGTATTCGAATACCCCTCCACTGCGAACTTCGAGCAGACATACGGCGCACCCATCGACGCAATTAATCTGCCACATATGCTCGACATGTTTACAATTCGACCCCTCTCTGCTCTCAGTAGTGGTAGAAACCTGTTTGTCACGCGAACCATTCCATACAGGTTTACATCCATCAAACGCTTGTAATCTTCGATAGGAATCCATTCTGATATCAAGAGGCCAACTGCGTCGTAAATACCGGCATTGTTAACTAGACCATGCAAACCTTAGAGAAATAACAAGGCATAAACTTGTATTACAAAATAAAACAATTATTTAAAAGTTATATTTTATAGAGCGTTTACTACAAAATGTCTTGTAAAGGTTTGATATTACGTCTAGTATATACTTTCTTTACTGTCAAAATTACTGTTTTTTTTAATTTTTGGTTTTTAAAATGCATTTATTCTCAATCTGAATACCTGAAATGTGTTCAAGTAATCAACGTTTTGTGTATGACTTACTTGAATCCCAAACTAAGTTAATGAATATAAATATATGGGTAGAGAAAGTGATATGCATGGATAAACAAGAACATTGTGTCATACTTATCGATATATTCGATATGTTAACACCTTCCACTTACAGATAAAAAGAGGCAGTCACTATCTTTCAACTGAAATTACAACAGTCTATATAATCACACATCACCAGTGTTTACCTTTTCCAAGTCCCACTATTTCCCCACGATTTCTACTATTGTATAGACATACCTTCTTCATTATTACCAATTATCGATATTTACAGTTGAATTGCACACGGCCGAAATTAACTTTTGGCGCTCTATGCAAGCTATGTTTGTGTGCTTTTTCAATAGTCCTCGAGACTGCAAGCGGTAGGCAGTGCTTGTGGAATTTTAGTTCACGAGGTTTGTTTTTACCTGCATGCCTTTCATTAAAATGGTGACACTGTTCAGGATACACACATGTACTTGACGTTATATTCAGGTTACCAGATAAATAACGATTTCATAGAAATAAATGGAATGACAAAGCTACTGCACCTCTCCAACTACTTTTTGAAATTTCCTTCGATCAATACGTGTTCTAGAAGTATGAAACAAATGAATTAGGCAATATAATTAACGACGCTGTTGATGCTGCCAAATTTTCTTCTAATTGTAGTTGAATATTGCATTACAACTGTGAAAATTATTTGAAGACATTTTGTCGTACATTAGTTAAAAATTAGTGTGTAAATTGGGAAATAAACGATGCATCTCAACCGAATTTCTGTGCTTATTAAACTGCGGTCATTGCCTGCATTGAGGCGGCTGCTCATACATGAGATAGTTATGCTCATGAAACAGTATCTGTTCTGCCAATTGATCACCGATGACTACTTTTGCGAGTTATTTTTTCTGAGAAAGGAAATTAGAAAAGTTAGTTGAATATAAAATGCAAACGTATGGAATGGTTATCACCATTTTTTACAGGTAAGTCTATGCATATTTCAAACAAATGAATGTCAAAATTCTGACAATCAATCAATTAACGTGACATTACTTACATGGATTGACCAATGTTTACATGGCGGATGACTTCGATAAAGCAGAAAACGCATAATCTTCCAGAACACCAGGTCTTATTATCCTTGTATTTTTCAGTCTCCATGTAAATCTTTCTTTTGTTCTTATTTGCCCTAGTTTTATTGATTTGAATATGTTGACATTGTTTTATTGGGTTTTTTTTTCTAAATCATTCATCACAACAATTTTCTTAGAAACGCATTAAAGTATAAACATCGTTTAAATCAATCGGAAGGTGTTGCTATTGTCAGTAAGCATAATGATCATCAAAATATTCAAATTTTACCTCGTCCATTAGGTAGCCTCGTTTTCACAAATGCGCATGCCTCTTTAATACTATTTTCGTCAGTGATGTCGATCAGCAATGACGTTACCCGATACGACGTTGTTTTGTCTAACATATTTTTCCCCTCTTTTGTCAAACATCCTGCGAACACGTTAGCTCCTAGATAATCTAGACGTTTGACTAACAAATGTCCAAAACCGCGATCACATCCAGTTATGAACACATATTTGTCGAAGATCCGAGGAATCTTCAGTTTTCTCAGGAAAGTCTTCGAAAACACATAGGTTATTATGAGGAGAGCGACGATATAGAAACTCATCTTCTTAAAATATATCTGAATGCATATGAAAAACAAATCATACTTTTAGGTCGTTCGAAAGTTTATGATAATGAAATGATCAAAGTACTGCTTCAAATGATGTCACGTACATATAAATTCTTGAGAGGAGAGATATATGGACAGTCAAAATATTTTATCACATGTGTTTATGAAAAAAAGCATTACTTTACAATAATTTTGCTGATAAAGTGTTGGTTTGTATCAGCCGTGAATGTAGTAATTGTAAGTGCTACAGGACAGAATTTTCTCTTAGTAATCACATCACTGTTACGTTTGATGTTAGGAAGAAATTTAATGTTTGAGACGTCTGTTACAAAAACATTACGACAGAAAAAAAGAACAATGAACGTTTTTTCCTTTTGAAACAATTTTGAAATATCACATGACTTGAAATCCTTTTCTCACCTACTGTATACATGATAATTATTCACAATGATCTAAGAATGACACTTATGTATTAAACTATTCTTGTGAATATGTTAAATATGTATCATTAATACATTTCTGATTAAATATTTATCTATTTCTCTAACGTCCAGCCACATGAACTTACCTCTGCCGTAATCAGGTCAATATGGCGAAAAAGATGCGACTCTAGCGGAGGCTTCGAAACATTTAGATGGGCTTGTACAGGGAGATAATTTGATAAAGTGTGGCTAATATCTATGCTATGATACCACTTGTTATCTGTTTAAGCATGAAATAAAATTGAATAACCATCTAATGATGAATAAAGAAGATTATTCATAGTTTTATCTAAATTTCTTCCTAAATATATACGTTAATTGTCCTTTAATAACCCCTGGTTTGATTCTTTGAACTTTGCTCTGTATGTTGTGTTTAATCTGCAAACACATATCAAGATTCTACGAACAGGTAGACAATTATATAATATTTGTATTATCAAGCAAAGTGCTGTGCTATATTTATCAAATTCGGATCAATCTGATGATCAAAGCTTTGTACTGATTAGCCCATTCTCAATCATTTTCCTCACTGATAAGCTATGTATCTTCCGATTTTCACTTATCAGTAGTCCTGTACGTGATCATTTCACATTATGCTATGATGTTCACATATGATAAACAGCCATTGTATGCGCCCTAATCTATGATGGTTACATGTCGCTATGTATTCGATATTCAAGGGCCTCTTTGCTGATCCGAAACGAAAACAATTTTCTTTCACGGACATTTCAAGAAATGTCGATGTTTATCTTAGTCATCTAAGTTATGTTATATTCTAAAAGGGGAAAAAGCCCTCAACACGTTCTTACAAGTGAAGAACACATCTAATCGCATATTGTATCAGGTAATAAAGTGTTTCCGACTGAGGTCACAATGAGGAACGTAAAACCTTAAACGCGTTAACCTGCGTTCTCTCGAAGCATGTCTGTCAGATGTCGACATATTTAAAGGACATCGAAAAACTATGGCTAAGGTCTGCAGTACCTATATCTATATAAAACATAAACATCGAGGTTTGGGGAAGCAGAATCCCTACCGTCCAGAAATGCAAAATTTTATTGAATATCGAAATCTTTGTTGTTTATGAAAATACACAAGTAGCACAATTATATAATGTAGAATTAATGCGTGTATCATTTATAAAAATATATCAGTTTCATCCAATTCCTGTTTGGAAATATACAGGTGCATTTCATACATATCTGATCTTATATGAATTTATATTCCATATGCAATTCATGAAACACTTCCAGCTATTACAATCGTATGACAGTTGCAACTCGTTTGGAAATACAAATCTACATATCTACATATACATATCAAGTATGTGTCTCTTATGATGACTATTAGCATCACCTGGCTGTTTTTTGTGGCATTGATTAAGTACCCCAAGTATCTTGAAGAAGCTCCGCCCGTAAATAGAGATAGTTTCGCTGTTCATTAATGTGATCGCGATATTTTAATCTATGAAATAATAAGTCACATACACATTTAATGTCGTTTACGTCCAAATTGCGAAATTCACATATGTTAAAATATAATTCGGTCGTTTTAAAAGAATCGGACAAATAATTCACAGTAAAAACGTATAAAAGACGAAATTAAATATAGACACGTTTATTACAAAATCGCATGTCTCCTTTCAGAGTGATAAACACAATATGAGTTGGGTTGATTGGCGAGTAATTAATACTCAACATTCAAGCAATGTCCCCATTTCCCGGTGACCTTTTGGTAACATCCAATGATAATATGTTGATGAGATCACGTGTCATTCTCCCATCTCTGTATCTAAGGCTTTCCTGTAAACAAATAATATATAAAGCATGTAAGTATATTCTCTATGGGGGAGTCTTAACATGATTCATTTTTGCGGAGGATTTATTTCAGTCAGGACTTCTAATCCATGAATTCCTATGTCTATAAATAGACTATCTCTAACAACAGGTATATGTAGAGTTCTAAGTTACTATTACTACATGATATTAAGCGTCGACAAAATGGTAGTCTTTTGAAAATCAATGAAGTTCTGCCCCATCAAAATATATGATTTTACAGTACTTAGGTGTAAACAAAAAAGTGAAAATAGAACGAACTCCAGCATGATATCCAATATGGGCATAACATATCCCTTTGAAAGGTCAATCACATTCTTATTCGTTGTTGATGCTATACTTGTAACAAAATTTCATCAGCTTCAGAAATGCTTCATTTTAACAATATAACATGATTTCTGTGATCTCTTCGTCATAACGTGTTATTGTCTGAATCTGTTGTTTACAAATTTATTGCAGGATTTTTCTAATAATGCAAAAAAACCAATATTTCATATTTTTCTTTTTTTAGTGTCATATGACATTTCTACATTTCTAGTCATTAATTTGTCTTTGGTGCTCTTATATTAAATAAATTGAAACTCAGTATGAGAGTGAGACCTACGTAAGCCCTTAGGTAAAGGCCAATTAAGAGTTCCCATCACCATTGCTGACAGCCATTCCGGTGCAAGATACAGCAATCTGAAGAATGTTTTGCTGTCCTTGCCAACAAGATATCGGCCTTCAGGATACTTGGACGTCAAAGCATGAACGTACGCATCCACGACCTGGCAGAGTCGGTCGGAAAACCATTTGTTTGGCCGCATGGCATCAATTACTGAAACATATACTTCAAATAAATCGGATTCATTCATACAGAAGATTAATAGCTCATGATAGACACATGTCAAAGCTGTTCTTTTGAAGTAATAAAAATACTAAAATTAAGAAAGTTTTTGCATGTCCCTTTCTTAATTTTGATGTTGCGCCAGAAAAAGCTTGAGGCCATTCAGTTCGAGTATGGCATCATTAATGAGTCATAGAAGGAGGAAACAGGTGCATGATGCTGTTTAAATCATACCATGCTTTCGATGCATCTTATTCTAGATTTGTCGTGACATGTATATTTTACGTGTATTTCTCTCATATCCCGCCATATTGGATAGAGTTTGCCAATGTAAGATAGCTATGTAAGAAAATTCTATCTTACATGGGCAAACACGTGCGCGGAGTAATCTGTGTTCAGGGGAGACAACTCTTACAGCGTCCGAAAATCCCTTGTACAAAAAATGACCGACAACCATGTACCCGATACTTGCAGGTTTATGTCACGGGTCATACAAACACACAGTCGCTGAATAATTACAGGACACTGAATGACAGACAGAAGTATATGATTTCCAATATGTTGTCAAACACAAAAAGCTCCGAATTAATTCCATCAAACCGAACACCATCCTCTGCCACCATTTCATCAACTTTAACAGTTACTAGGCCTACATCTGATGCCACAGTGTGTTTACCATCGTCATCACAACAAGAAAACACGGTTAACACCTACAATCCTGTATCACAGAAACAATCTGAAACTCGCATCGAATCCTTGTTTGCTGGTTCTCACATTGAAAATTGCCAAATCACCGTAAATATCACCAAAAATGTTCCACCACCAAAACGTCGTCGAATCATGGTGATCGAGAGCGACAGCGACTCGGAATAGGAGATCGTGTGACGTCACGCCTTGAATTTATGAATGGAATTCCTTTGACTATGGTGACGTCATGTCAGCGTCACAGTATTTTGAAAAAATGTTAAAACAGTAAAAAGATACATTGATATATTTCTTAAAATGATCAAATATGTGATTTTGATGATAAAACTATATGTTGAATTATAAAAATCCGTTCCTTGTTGATTTCTTTGAAGTATTTGACCGAACAATTTCTTTTCGCGGATGTTTACTTACACATACTATATAATCACACAGAGATCATTTTTGGTTTTTTTCATCTGCGAATAATATATTTATCCTGCAATATACCGAAAAATGGTTTGAAATTTGACAGCAAACTTAAAGTTTGCAAAATATGGGTATGATCGTTAAGAATATCCAGTTCGTTTCTCATAAAAACTTCGGATTAAAAAAATGAAAAAAATGAAGATAATGGCCGACTGACTGTCCTTTTCCCAAAATTTTGGTAAAGATATGAGAGAAAAAGACTCTTTCATTATGTGTGTATGTAGGATAGGGATATTCTACCCTCGGGGTTACAAAATATGGTAAAAACCTCGGCAGAGCCTCGGGTTTCACCATATTTTGTGACCCTCGGGTGGAATATCCCTATCCTACATACACGCATATGAAAGAGTCTTATAGTCTTCTCTGCAATCATTGAAGATGATTTGGGTATTGTTGCAAATAATTACCGTCTTGTAAATCTATGAATTCCCGTATCTACACCCCGATATTTATATATGTCTTCCAAAACAGGATTCATAATTTTGCAAAATTTCATAAAGAATCTAAATTTGGACGCAAAATCAGTTGAACAATTCAGTTACTCGGGACTCAAGAAAAGTAGCAATATGTATTTTGTTTCTGATAATTACCGACAAACAGGCTTTACATAACTCCAAACAAAACTGAATAGGATTAGTTCATTTAGATAATACATCGCTTAAATGCTTTAATATATCAAACAGCTAGCACACTATAGCAACTCTATGCCAGAAAATAGTATCGTTTAAGAATATGAAAAGCAGAAATGTTTTCTAAATAAAACCTCGAAGATTAATGATAATAACAGTTTCTAAAATAACAAGTAGTCTTTCGTTTTAGAGGAAATCCCCGAGGTGGCACTTTTGTTACATCGGAGAGGTAATAACCAATCATATAATGTCACACTTTCATCAAGTTTTAAGGAGAGTTGGGAATTTTGTATTAAGGACAGGTACATAAGCAATTGCAGATGCTGAGCTCAAACAGTACATGTTAATGACAATTACTGACGGACCAAGAACATAATTATAATCCAAACTCAAATTCACTAAAACTAGGGCAAGATATGAAACAAAAGAAAAACGATTTGCATAGACACTCCTAAAAAGGACAAGAAAATTAGACCAGGTGTCTCAGAAGTGAAGGCGTCTTCTGCTTCATCAAGTCATAAAATAAAGTTACACTTCTGAATTTAATTGAATTAGCAAACTGCCAATATTGTAAACATTGTTTCCATATACACTTACACACATCAGGGTAATCCTTTCCATAGTACTCCACAACATCATCTTCTTGACGATGAAAACATTCACGTAGCTTCTTCTTCAGTTTTTCAATGTCGTATATGTTGGTTTTATATCCACTCGGTTCAATGATACTGACTTTGATGCCGGCCGAATAATATTCCTGTCTTAAAGTACAAAGAAAAACGTGTACACTTATATTAAATGTCTATGGTGCATTCTAAATATTCAAATGTTTTATTTTTTTCATTTTACTTCGTGTTTGATAGATATAATAATAATTACTGTGAATGCTACTCTTCAAAATAGAACTTATTGCGAAGTGCATTTGTCGGCTTAAAATATATTTGTTGTCTTCGATGTTTTTCAAATTGAGATAAAAAAAAAGTTTCACAAAACTCCAATTCCATGAAAATAAAGTAAAATACAAACAAATCATTTACGTGAAAATAGGAGCCGTATTAATGAAACCGTACACTCATGCTCAAATAAATATTTTGTTCTCTGGTTCAAATATATTTGGTGATAATCCTGAATTAAAATTTTAATAATATAAAGGAAATTCGGAGTGATTTCAAGTGAGACATCATCACGTTTTATGTCCAGGATTTTCTTTTGCATTAATGTTTAATGACTTTAGCGAGATTTCAGAAATTTGAGTTCAACACAAATTTCCTGCTTGAAGATATGAATAGTTCCATGAATACGGACCGAGGGGTTCCGGAATTAAGGTTATGTTATAATTAGATTCTTGATTACTAAGCATAAATGAGAATGTTGAGATCTTAATTTGTGATTTTTTAATTCATATTCTCCCTCCTCAGATTATGGGAATGTTCACTTTTTGTCAAATTTGTTAAGCCTTTGAAACGTACCTGAGAATATCCGAATAGCCTTCCACCGCGAACTTCGAACAGACGTATGGGGATCCCCCTGACGCAAATAATCTGCCACAGACGCTAGACATGTTTACAATTCGACCCCTCTCTGCTCTCAGTAGTGGTAGAAACCTGTTTGTCACTCGAACCATTCCGTATAAGTTTACATCCATCATACGCTTGTAATCTTCGATCGGAATCCATTCTGACATCAAGAGGCCAACTCCATCGTAAATACCAGCGTTGTTGACCAGACCATGTAATCCTGAGTATATTAATAAATGTATTATTAAAGTTTATTCTGAACAGTAATAGTAATATCAATAGATTAAGAGTTCTTAAAAACAAAGCCAGTAGATGATTAGGATAGCAGTACCCAGTTTCTCCGTGTGTCCATTGGTGATATTTTTGTTCATTAGATTACCCCATTATAAAGGTTTTAACTAAAGTTAAAATAACCAAACCCTTGTTAAATTGGTCATGTAATGTTGAAGTGGATAATCTAGGTTTTCATTTTTTTTTTTTTTTTTTTAGAATAATATTTTAGCTTTTTGTTGGAAATTACTGTTTGGGCAGCCTCGAATCTGTGTCAACGCACCAAAAACTAGCTTTACAGGAAGTGAAATTTTCATAGTGTTTAGACGTGGTCATGTTGTGAAGGATTTCCGAGTTGGAATTTGCTGAAATGTAAGTACTTTGTTACCATGACAGTGTTGCTGATTTTAAGACAGGTGTTCAGAAATAAATTTCTTCTAGAAAGTTGTAGTGTTAGGTTGGAATTAGCAGTATTTTAGCATTTTTAGCATTTTTTCAGTTGGTAACCATGACAATCACATGTCAGAAATCAGAGGAAATTTTGATTTACATAAATTTTATCTCTCTACTATGAATGAAATTATTATGTAATTTATAAATATATTGTCGCGAATTAGGCTCTGGGTAGTGAGAGGAAATATACATAAAACAACCATCCTCTTCAACTATCTTCCTTTATTCTCATCCTAACACATGAGAGTTACAATACAAGGGAGGCAATCATGTAAAACAGTTATCGAAGTTATCTCCCCTTTGACCATCTGTGGATGGTTTACATACAGCTACCTATATGTGTATACATAACAACATATATATAATTAAGGATGTGTTTTTCATAACCAAACTGCTATACCTGTATATCTCAAACATGAGGAATGATTTCAGAAAAAAATGCAAATTAACTGTTTCCTGCTACCTAGAGTGTGACGTTTCGATGACTACACGATCACGTTTACCAGACAAATGACAGTGTGAAGCGTACTAGCACTGACGTACAAAATGTACGCTTTGTACGAGATGGTAAGAAATAGACCAACTTTTTCGGCTGCACTATAATCCTATGTACGCTGAGTTCAAAGATACTGTGACGAGATGGTAAGAAATGGACCAACATTTTCGGCTGTACTATAATCCTATGTACACGCAGTTTGAAGATAGTGTAACGAGATGGTAAGAAATCAACCAACATTTTCGGCCGTTCTATAATCCTATGTACACACAGTTTGAAGATAGTGTAACGAGATGGTAAGAAATCAACCAACATTTTCGGTCGTATTAATAATGCAATAATGACGAATGAACATTGAAAAGAGTTAAAAATATATGTAGGTAAAGAACTCACCCATGCTATCAATATTGGTTAAAGGCCAATGATATACTCGGATTTATAACGGTCCATTCAGCATAATAATATCCAGTTCTGATGTAGGGCGCTGTTTGATTTTCTCTCACAATAATAACACACATGTTGAATTTCTATCAGGTTATATTGATTAACTATAAACTCTATGTTTGTAATCAGTATTAGAAATTGAGTTTTAATGAGATTCTGTTGTAAACGATACTATTATAACTGATAAGAGTGACCGTCAGTATAGATACAAATAATGTTTCGGAACCTATTATATAACTTTATATTGTGGAAGTGAGATCGGAACCATAATTATACTATTTTTCATACCGATACAAAGCAATTATCATAATCAACTGTCACTATTGTATTGTAGCACATATCACATACGGTCGTTAAGAAACGATGTTTGTATAACTTTTGAATCACGATTTTTGAAATTTTATTTGGCGTTGAAATCAGTTACTCAAATCATCTGAACTTACACATGTAGCATTTTTCGTATAGAATAATTAGATGAAATTACGCATAATCATGTACATTGAAATCAATTGAACTACAGTCGAACTTCGTTATTTCGAAATCGGCGGGACCGTTTGAATCTTCAAATTATCCGAGTATTCGATTTAATTGAGATTGAAAATTTGGTTAAAAATTTTGGATTTTTTTTAATCAAAATGGTTCATCGAGTTATACGAGTTCGAGATAACGAGGTTTAACTGTATATTCTAAATGAGGAGTAGATATAGAAGTTACAAGTTTTACCTCGTCCATCAGGAAGCCTAGATTTCACAAACGTGCAAGCCGTTTTGATACTATCCTCATCAGTGACGTCAACAAGCAATGGCGTCACGCGACATGACGTCGACTTATCCAATTTACTTCTCCCCTCTTCTGTCAAACATCCTGCGAACACGTTAGCTCCTAGATAATCCAGACGTTTGACTAACAAATTTCCAAAACCGCTATCACATCCAGTTACGAACACATATTTGTCGTAGATCCGAGGAATCTTCAGTTTTCTGAGGAATGCCTTTGATATCACGTATGTTAGTATCAGGAGAATTACGATAAAGAAACTCATCCTCTTGATGTAAACCTGAGTACATCAAATAAATTCAGTGAGCATGACTATATTATTAATAATTCTGAATATAGTTCATTATAGATATACACGTCATCATCAACAGTTATATCGTTAACACCATCTTTTATATCTTTGAAAAAAAGAACTTCTAGTAAAAATATTACATCTCTTTTCCAGGGTGAATTTCATTTTATACCAAACAAGAATACAGTCACATAAAACATTTTTGTGATTGCCTTTTTAGTTTTCCCCTGTAAAATATACAGAGACAAGATAACAAATGTTGCTGCAAATCGATCACTATTGTAACCACTTCCGGTAATCTTTAATGTGAAGTCATTATTTTCGTATAATTGACAGTTCTATTATATGTTACATAATACATTTTATCGATCACAAACAATTCATAAGAATCTGAAATCGACTCTTCTACATTAGCACTTTTCTTAAACTCTGCTTACAGCGCAACCTACATGCACAGTTTCCTACTAAGCTGTATAAGTGTGGCGATTTCCATTTCCCTATTATGAACTTTACAATGATTGTTAACAACACTCCAGCTTCCCGAATCAATGTTTTCATAATGCAGTTAATTCAATCTTCCTGTGCTGTTCCTAGCTCATTTACCCTGAGTTTTGTGAACTATTTTGACAGGTGACATTCTTCCTTAGATTTCATAGGGTAATCTTATCTATGATCAAAAATGTCACGAAAATAGAAACACCACGAAAATATATTATTTATCAGTTCATTTTATCAAAAACTACTGCAAGGCTAGATTTTAAAATCATGGAAACTAATCAAAAATCCTTTGGCACCGGATAGATATTTTACATGATGGGGGAAGCAAAAACAGACAAAAAGTTTTCCCACGCGTTCACTAAACTACTCAACAACCGTGAACGATGCTCAGTAACAGTACACGATACTTAAAGTTGCCTATTTATAACGATACATCATACATTTGCGTAGTTTCGTAAACACATTAGTCTATGTCTATGATAATTAACAATATAGAAAGCCATCCAGTCGCTTACCTCCACTCAAAAATTGTACTTTTTATAGAACTTTTAAAAGAGATTTAAAATGTTTATATCAACGGGCACATTCTGGCTATAACACACGTGTCTAAAAATTATAGCTAAAAAATAGATCTGACCAACAAATGCGCATTGAGATATTAAAGTTTTGTTTACATCTTACCTCTACTGCAGCTCGAGTAAAATTGCTTAATCATGTTGTGAGTTATTTGAAACATAGATTGGCTTGTTATCAACATATCAATGTATGTATTTTTTTAATGCCCTTCGTACGCCTCTGCGTCAGTAGATTTGTACTTTGTACTATATCGGCTGATATGATAGTATCTAATGATCAAGACTCTTATCAGACTGCTCACAAAGGGGAGACAATCTGGTTATTACACAGTAAAGGCTGATGTTAACATGTGTACGATAGGTCAACGCTGTATGATTCACTTTATATCTTTCCTGAGTCGACTTAATAAGATTTTCCTGTCTCCCCAACTAGAGCAGCGTAACATTATTATTTTCGTAAAATGGCTGCAGCAGCTTAAGCTTTCAAATTGCATTAATTATTTGAAATGTTTATGTTTTATCAACTTCATTAATATAACATTATACTCACCTGTGTTTGTCAACACGTGAAACACAGCGTATCCCGATCGGCAGACTGGCGTAAAGACTCTGAATATAATGTAGAGGGAGATCACTCCAATTGGACGACTAACCTCAGTTGCCCTCTTTTGTACACGGATTTGCAGCACCCTCCGATATATATCAATGCCTCTGTGAGGGCTAGGGAAATGTGCCCACATCGTTCTCTTAATTTTGGCGAGCCGCGACATGACATGGCGTATTGTCCTCCTCGAAAATCCATGTGAGGTTTTGGAAAATACGGACAGTCACTAACCAAAGACATTCATCACGGGTGAAAATATACACTTTCAAATTCAGGCCTACACGCTCATTCTCAGCAATATGCCCCAATCGATGTCGCTGGAACTTGCACAAAACACCAATATAGTTCGGAGTATTTTACTTTCATAAGATCAAAGAACTCATGAATCTGAGCATTTACTGATGAAAATTTATGTTTTCAAGACAGAAATTTCCAAAAAAAAAAAAAAAAAAAAATGTTGGCAAATGTACTGAAACATAACATTCGTTACTGACGCCAGACTCTGTATCTATTTAAATTTGAACATAAGTTTCTATTTGAGGCACATATCATCACATATTGACTTTTATTTTTCAAAATTGAGACCTAAATTGATTACAAGAAGGTGTTTTGTTTGAATTATTCATTTATGAAAACTGTTATGTATGGATGATCAAGCGTCGCCAACTTATGTGAAACCTACGTTTCCCAGAACAAAACATAAATATTGTCGTTTAAATTCTAATATGTGAAGCCCTACCTTCGGTCATAAATTCGGTAAACCAATATTAATAAAGTTGTTAAAGAGTTTTAAACAGAGACGGGTCACAATCCTAGAACATGCATGCGCTTTTGTTCGTGTATGAAAGCGTATGGATAACAGTGAAACATACGTTGTTGCGTTTTGTAGCTTGTTATATTGATACAAATGTTGATAGAACTTTGTAAAAGTTCAGGAGCAACCTTGTAGTCAAAACTATGTTGCCGTGAGATTTATCTTCACAATAGACCACTGCGTATAAAAAACCTTTGATTGAAACCTACGTTACTGAAACCTCCGTGACCGTAAAATACGAAATATGCCAAAACAACTTTATATTGACGTCACCAATCTTTCCACGTGTTTTGATTGATGGCGCCATTATTAAATATTTTTTTTAATGATTTTTATCAAATATTAAAACACAGTGGACAATTAAATTTTGCTGTTATTCTTTGCTTTTATAGCGAGATTGACATTTTATATCGTGTTCTTGAAGAATATTTACAAATCTATGAATAAGAAGGTTTTTTTCACATATTAGACACTAATGTAAAAAAAAAATTCAGATTAAAATTCTCACAAAATTTTGTGTTATTTCTACAAACAACATTTCACTCTTCTTCGAAAAAAAGCGTAAGGGTCCCCCAAGCAAAACTATTGATGAATAAACCAGATATTTCAATAGTCTATTTATTTCCAACTCATCAACCTCTTTCACATAAATGTAACGTATGTTTCAAATGAAATGAATGATCAAATGTCCGCCCTTTTTCAGCTCAAACATAACTCTCACCAGAGCAGAAATTCAAAAATTATACAGGGATAGAAACAAGGCACAGGATGGCGAAGCGTATTCAGCCAAAGAAAGAGCCAGACAAAAGAAAAATTATGTCCCTGCAGCTTCCCTAACAAATTCCCAAAGAAAGAAAAGAAAAGAAAAAATAAGCCAAAGAGTTAACAAAAAATACAGACTTCAGAAGAAAGTTAGCTTGCAAGAGGATCTAGTTCAAATGAATGAGAGTTCTGAAGTTACTAGTGGTTACGAAACACAAGAATCAAGCTGCTCGCAGAAATTAATAGTGAGACTTCCAAATGCAAGAAGGAAACGATTAAGTAGAGCCTTATCCACTGCTCACAGACACTTTAAAAACCTGCAAAAGGAAAAAACAGACTTACACTAAAAATTGAAAACAACGCAAAGAAAATTACAACGATTAAAGAAAAAATCTAACAAAGGTTTATTCACACCACGCAGGAAGACTGATCGAATTTTGAATGAATTTGGACTCAAAGAACCTCACAGATCTAAAATCAGAAAGCAACTCTTATTCAGTAATGTCATCACTGAACAGCTGAGACAGAAAAGTGGAATAGAACAGGATAGAATGAAGAAAAACATGTTGTATAGCACACTCGCAGGTAAAAATGTACAAAAGTACAGATGTGTAGCAAAGCTGAGTAAGGAAACAAGTATTGATAGTAGAAAATCTTTCCAGTTTCATAAAGGAAAAGATAGATTTAAGAAAGCAATGGAAAAAGAGAGTTATTGGAAAGTACCAAGACAGTGTTATACAGTTTCTAGAGAGAGAAGATAATTGCCGAGTACAACCGGGTAAAAGAGATTCTGTTAAAATGGAGGAGGGTCAAGTTCAGAAAAGGGTACTAACAGATTATATGGGAAATCTACACCAGAAATACCTCTCAGAAAATCCAGGAGTGAATATTTCATTTGCAAGCTTTTGTAGAATACGGCCAAGGTACATCCAGCTGACCAATTTTCCCAGTCGACAAACCTGGTTGTGTACGAAACACCAAAACTTTGCGCTGAAGCTTCAGATGCCGAGGAAAGAAGGTATACCGAATGTCAGCCAAAATCCAGATGAATTTGTGAAAAACAATGTAGATGTGCCAAAAGATAAACTTCGAGCTCAAGTTTCTTTCTCCGCCTAGAAAAGAGTGGTAGCTGGTGATCAGAAAAAGACAAAAATGAAACTTGTCGTAGAGGAATTCTCACTTGTGGGTTTTTTCCTACTGCAGGAAAAAGAGGTTTGTGAGTTCAAGGATCACGTTGATAAAGGGAGTTGAACATCGTAGTTACGTCGCAGTATCCGATACTAATACCCATTCTGCTTCTACCGTACTAAAAATTCTGGATATGTTTTATGATCTGCGGATTCCAGAATATCAGGATTCCAAGTGTGTTCACTACTGGACAGACAGCCCTTCATCGCAGTACAGGAATCGCTATATTTTTTAATCCGTCTACAACCATGAACGAATTCGAGGATCAAAATGCACATGGAATTATTTTGAAGGCATAGTTACTCTACTTTCAATTCATGTTAATTGATTCCGTTGTGTTTATCATAGCGATAACAAAGATTTCGAAAATAGATAAATGTGGTTTTTGTTGATACTCATTTTCTCTGAGTTGACTATATATATGAACACGGAACTGTTCGATACATCTACTGTATATACCCAATATGTTGAAAAAAGTAGTATTACATTTAGTTAAGGTCATTAAATAGTTGAGCCGGTGTGATGTAAACAGCTGATACTGAAC